GTGATTCTTCTGTGCCAAGTATAGCGTATGTAGGATATAATTATACAAATGTGTCCTATATATTAGTGACTGGTATGGTATGATATGGTTCAATATCTCACCAGGGAGCAGAGGTTAAATCTTGGGTGAATAAAACTGACAAAAGTGATATGTTACTTGTGGGTCAAAAAATGACCTATTTTGACATTGATATACAGGCTATGTCAGAAAGTGATTAAGTACTGTAAGAATCTTACATATGAAATTTCTTACTCTGTACTTCTCATGTCTGAATATTTTGTTTACATTTTGTCAAACTGTAAACAAGAAAGGTGAAGAGACCTATTTGATTGAAAAACAAATCTGTCTCATTATATTATTTGATTTGCTAAAAAAATTATTACTGTATAAGATATTATTGGTCTACTTAATAAAACTAAATGCTGAAAATGTCAATCTCAGCTTTAATAATACAATGTGAAAATGCGTATGTTATTGAATCGATCTTGCTAACTGGGCCCGTCGGTTGCATCGACCCTTTGTCACTGGCCCTAGCACAACTGAGTTGTCTACCCTGACTAGCCTGGTAATGGTATATAAACAAAAATCAACAGAAATTATTTCAAACTTTCCGCTAATATAATTCGAAAGGTCACTCTTTCTAAATCGGAAATTTTTTTTTATGGTGCTTCCGCTTACCTCCAATTCTTCAGAAATTTGTTTATTCGCATAACCCATAAGCGGTAATAATTACGATGAATATACAAGCCTAGGCTACTGTATCTACGACAAATATGCCTCTAATCATATCGTTCCTATTGGTGTTTTAGTCCCAATTTTTTTGTTTTGTTGTGAAATTATTCAGGAAATTGAATTATGTGTTCTTGATTTTTTTTCTATTCATTTATAGGCCTATTGTTGTTTAGTTTCATTTTGATGCCAAAATTGGCGTTCCATACAATATCGCCAAAAGTCAAGTGGCGCAGTGCAGAAGTCAAGTGGTACAGTACGAAAGTCAACTGGCGGCGCACGCAATTGAGTTTGCTCTGCGCCACACTTTAGTTTTGCACTGCGCCACCTTAGTTTTGCACTGTGATTTCTTTTTGTCCTTTTAACGTGATATCGCCAAATGGACAACCACAAGTGGCGCAGTGCAAAAGTCAAGTGCAGTGCAAAAGTCAAGTAGCACAGTGCAAAAGTCAAGTGGCGCAGTGCAAGAGTCAAGTAGCGGCACACGCATTTAGATTTGCAATGTGCCACTTTATTTTTGCACTGCGCCACTTGTCGTTTGTCCTTTTGGCGTTCCATAATTTATTGGTTGCCGATGTAGATGGCACTGCTCGTACTTCTTAGCTGTAGATCTGAAGCTGTAAATATAGGGAGCTTTCGATTTGTGCGACGACGCGACGCTAGAACTGAATCACTCATGCGTGACCGTCCTACCTGGATACGCAGATTTGGCCAAATTGCGTTCAAGAATCTACTCAACGAGGTGACCTTAACCAGGGTTGCCAGATAGTCGACAGTCTTCACGGCCAAACACACGCCATCTCACGGCCAAATTCGGCCAAACTTTTTTTCGATATCGGCCAAAATTCGGCCAGATTTTAATCCGATTAGAAGACAAAAGTGGGTAGATAAAATACACGAAAATCAGCAGTCATTCGTTAGAAATTTAAGAAATTCAAATGATATACACAGAACAATGTTAAACTTTCACTGTAACTTTCATCTTTTAATTATCGGCCATAAAATACATGCCCAGCCACATCATTATAAATAGCCTATGTTCTTTAGTTCTGGCATGTAGGCCAATTCAGGGGCGAATCCACAGATGTCCGAAAGGGGAGGGGCAGGGGCTGGAAAAGATAACACCATCTTGGAGAATTTTTTGTTTTCTAGACGCCCGAAAATAACCTCTGATGCGTTTGGGCGATCAATTTTTCTTTATTTTTTCCCCTTTTTTCAACCCCCCTCCACCCCAAATCCGCCTCTGCTTTTTAAAATCACAATATTAAGATTGATCTAAATTTGATTTAAATGTATTAAATATTAAGGTACATTGTAGTCGATCTATAGCATAGTTACCAACTGTCTCGCATTTCAAAGTGATTTTGGATTAAACACACATTTTGCAGAAACACATGCGTGATCCATAATTTGTCACGCATTTAGCCCACATCTAATTCAGGGGAAATGTATTTAAAATTAAAAGAAATTGGTTTTATTTAAAAATATATATAAATAATCATGCAGAATAAAATTCGACTGAATAGAAGCCAAGTTATCAAAGAAAGTTTCACACATAAGCATTAAATAGAATATTTTGTAAATAGCATTCAGTTTTCCCTATTTTTTGTGTTTTGTAATTGTTTGTACACAGGTCACTCATCACAATATGCAGTCTTTTAACGCCAACATAATGTCAATGGCTGCCAAATGTCTAAAATTAGACGGCTACAAGTACCAGTACCAGTACCAGTAATTGAGTCATTAGAGAGTACTTAATATTTATTTTAAAAATTTATCAGTGAAATGTTTAGGTCAACATAGCTCGGGTGCTCAATTACATTGAAACTAAAAATAGTTTTGCTTATGTCACCGTAATTGTCAAGACACACCCTGAAATCGTTTTAAAACAGCTTTAATGCTCAAAACTTCGGAGCGCCTGGGCCACGCCCCTCGACCCCAGCTGGGCTCCGCCTCTGGACTCCGCCCCCCCCCCCCCAGTTAAATGGTGTAGTCACTCACGCATTTCAAATCTCTCAGTTTGGTAACTATGCTAGAGCAAAAAATGTAAGGGCCTGTTATTGGCAAATCCGCGGTGAATTAAGTTATATAGTTAGGTAATACAAACTGACGTTAAAACAAACTTGAACTTTAATAAATACTTTATATCTAAACTTTCTAAATTCGACTCTGAATGTTATTGTCGCAGTACTTAAAGCAATAAATCAATGTTGCTATCAGAATTATCTTCTTCATTCTCATATACAACCTAACTCTATCTGAGTAACTTCGAAGAAGTCTCTGGCACAACGCTTGCTTGAAATTGGAGGTGCTATCTGACCCGAATGATCACATCGAGTTCTACATAGAGAACAGCAGCACCTAGGCCTATACAATTCAAGTGGGCAATAATAAATTAATTAAAGTACAGTATTTAATTCATATTCGAAAGAGATTCCAAAGAGATAGAACCTCCACTAGGATGGAACATTTACAAACACACACAATAGATGGTAAAAACTTGCATTGAACTGTCTTCATAAAGCTTAAACGAGGATAAATTTCATATAAAATAATATTTCATCCGAACAATTTAAATTATTAAATGTAACTGTTATCTTTTAAATAAACTCTCTTACGTCCAATCGGCTAAAGGGGTCCGGGTAACAGGCCTAGATTAAGCGTTTAGTGCAAGTACAATCAAAGGTACATGATTAGAATCAAATAATAGAATTTAAGCTAACAAAAACAACATATCCAAAACAAGTCTACGTTATATTAGGCCTATATTGAAAAAAAATGTAAACTTTTTAAAAATTCGGCCAAATTCGGACAAATATATTTTGGCCGTGACTTTTCAAACGTTACGGCCAGGCAAATTTTTATACGGCCAGATTGGAGGAATCTGGCCGTCAAAAAAGCCAAATGGCAACCCTGACATTAACGTTCTCGCATGCGCAGATGACTTTTAGTGACGTCATTACGTTCTACGTCCTACCGTCGTCGTGCAATCGAAAGCTCCCTATTATCAGCTTGTGTTGTAATTTTTAAAGTTCATAACCTTTGACCTTAAGTATGCAATGGCGCGTTAAGAAATTCTTTATTTGTGCTATTTATTTCAACAATAATTTAAATGGATGGTTTAATTGTCGTTTAGTATTTTTCCTGTTTTTATTTGTCGTTAAAATTAGTGAACATTATTTAATAGGAAGGTTAGATTAATGCGATCATTCATTGATTTACTACAGAAATCCTTAAATTGATTAGGCCTACTAGCCAATAGATGTCTGTGCAAAAGAATACAGGAAAGTATTATTTAGTTGTTAATTTTTAATTTTAAGGTAATGACCTACTTGAATATGCAAATTTACAATTCAAATGATGTGGAATTAAAATTTTCATTTTTTACCTCATGACCGATACACATCTTTAAAGCATTGAAGAATTAGGCGTGAGCCTATTTCAAGAATTAGGCCTAAAGCCTATTTCATAATTCTCATAATATTTTCATCAAATAATTCAGTCATAATGCTAATACTATTGTACTGATTAATTTACACTTTACAAGATTTATTTTTTCATATTATGTTATTTTTGCGAAATGGCTTTAAAATAAAATGTATCTTACTTTGGATGGATAAATAGAAATTTGAAAATGAAACGCAATAAACATTTTTTTTTGCCTGAAGATGATGTTTTGATAGGACTTACCAAAACTCTCTCCAAATGCATACGTTTAGGAATCGAGTTTATATATAATAATAATAATAATAATAGATTGATTTATATAGCGCAAATAAACGAGAAAATAAATAAATTATAAATTATCCATGAGTTATTTTTAAATCTATAGTCTTTATTACTGTGTATCGGTTTTGAAACTTATTGGCAGTGAAACCGCAGAGGGGAGTTCAAAGTTCAAAGTAATTTTATTGTCAATAGTACAAGTAAAATTGAAATTTGGTTTCCTCGGATACACAAAAACCAGACAAAAAAAAAAAAAATATCAACAGTCAGATTCTATTCTAAATAACAAAATTCCACTGAATCACACCTAAAAAAAAATTATCATTATATCAATTTTCTAGAAACTAGAAAAAAAATATATACAGAATATTCCAAAGAAGTTTTAAAAAAGCTGAGAATGTTGCAAGTTTTCAACTGAAAGCTAATAATCTACATACTAAAATGTAAGCAATTAAAAAAAATTATTCCTTTATTATTATTTGTATTCTTAAACCTGAAACAATAAATGCTGATCTTTAGGTATTGTTGCCATGACTGTGTCCACCAGCAAAGCTAGGTGCACTGACGACTTTACAGAGACGCTATACGTCGAAAACGGTGGTAACACGTCCGTCTCCTTCTACATGGATCGCTTTGTTGTGGTGCTTTGCTATAAAAATAATGATGAAATTTACGACAGTGATGAACCCACACGCTATCCAAAGTATCAGTACGAAAAGCAGACGGGCAACTATCATAGATTGCATTTCTTTAAAGTTGATGACGATGATGTGATCGACAGATGTACTGTTCTGGGTCAAAGATGTCACTATGATTTCTACTTGGATTTAAAATTTTATGGTAGGTTTTTTTTTTTGTTGTTTTTTTTTTTCTTATCATTGCCATGCTTTCCCGAATATAGTAGGCCTAATTGTAGTGCAGGCCTAGACATAAAGATTTGGATATAACTGAATTCACAGAGTATCACTTCGATATAATTTGTCTGCTTTCTCTGGTAAAAGAGCAGATATATGTAGAGCACTTTTTATACTAGCTTTCATTCACAGAGTGTCATCAACATCAATCAATCGATTTATCAATCGATGATTCACTTAGAAATACAAATCCATAGAATACTATTACAAAGAAGGAAAACTTAAAACAAGTCGTACCATACAAAAGATTATAGTTACATTTTACAATTACAGTATTTTATTAAACAGTAAATTAAAGAAAACTGCACTTTACACGAGTACCGGTATTTTATTTTGGTCAAACTAACATTGTACAGGTCAATTTGAACGAAACAATTTCACTGCCAACATTCTCGTAGCATTCCCTTTGGTAAAACCATTCATGATGAGCGGCAAGTTTAACCCTGACTGACCAAGATACGGTTACTCCAACCTTGTCTTGGTCAATAATAATCCAATGCGAAGACGGCTTTAGCTCGCATCCGAAACTATGCATCCAACTGTGATATATATATATATATATATATATATATATATATATATGTATATATATGTAATATATATATACAAATATAAAAATTTATATATATACACATATATACATATATATATATATATATATACATTTTTTAAATTAGCCTATATCGTGTGTGAGTGTGATTAAATACTTTTAATACATTGAACTCATTTTGTTCCTTATAGAGATGATTTTCCAATTTTACTCCACTGACGTCATCCCATCTACAGACGCAATTGACATTGAGAAAGGGTTTGCGATGCTGCAGTGCATCGCCAAGACATCTTTTAAAATTTTAGATTTGACTATGACTTTGAGTGGACCCGGCATACTTTCAACAAACAGTATGTTACTGAACAACAATACAAATGATGGATTTTATGATAGCGTGTACACGGCATTGATACATGTTGATAAGAATCGCGTCGAATACACTATATCTTGTTCCATGGTACCAAGTAAAAACGGAGGTAAGAAGAATTGGCTAAATTTCATTACAAAAAAGATCATATCTACTGTGATTTAATATTTCTACTATTTCATTTCGAAAAATGTCATATGAAAATTAAGTACAGCCAAAATATATCTCAATAGGACATGGATGGAGGTATTTGTTTTACAATTATTATATAAACAATACTTTATTTTAACTCTCCAAAACAAAATAGCAGTGAAACATGCCGATACGCAAACATATATTTTGCACGTGGACAAAAGATAATATTTATTTGTAATACATTTTCAATCATAATTTTGATAAATGTTATTTTCGGGGTTTGTTATATTGAAATTGAGATTGATAAATTAATGAGCACAAATTTCATATAGGCCTATACTTTAATTTTTTATTTGGTTGCTAACATATATTTTCGGGGT